GGCTGCAATATAACAAAGAGTGAAAAATTTAAGGGGGTCTGAATACTTTCCGTACCCACTGTATATATATACACACACTTTTTTATATTTTATTTACAAATGTCAACCGTGTTATATATACAGTATATACGTATATATATATATATATATATATATATATATATATACATACCTATCTATCTATCTGTATCATCATACATTTGGATCAGAATATGTGCATATTTGTAAAATGAAATAAAGTTGGTAATGGATGGAGACAAATAAAAAAGGCATCCTCGTGATTAAAGGAAAAAACTTAAACAATGTTACTGGATTTTAATCTTTAAAAGAATGTCTGTATTGGCATAGCAAAAGTTGGCATTAGTTATTCATTGTTTAAGTTATTTTTTTTTACACATGCATACAAGAGAAACAAATGGCACGCTTTTTGTACAGTGTCCTGTGTATTTCATCTGTGGGAGAGCGACCTGTTTAAACTGAACGTATTATTTCAGCCTAACAGAGAGGGCATATTAGAGCTGTCAGTGGGTGGAGTCTTCTACTGCCTGGGAATTGTCTTCTTCAAGAGTGATGGCCTCATCCCATTCGCTCATGCCATCTGGCACGTCTTTGTGGCAGTGGGGGCAGGCATACACTATTACGCCATCTGGAGGTACTTGTATGCAACGGGGACTGGCCAAATCAAAATATCCAGGTGACAGATGAAGAAGATCTCAAGTGTGTTCACACATACAGGGTTTGTTGAGCTATAAAAGACAATGTATTTGATCCTGAGCTGCCTTTGCATCCCTCTATATTAATCATAGACGGGTATGTTTTAGTACTGTTGGTCTAAAATGTATTTTTATATAGAAGGATTTCTGTCCTGATAACTCAGCACCTTCTGGCCAGTCTATTTTTGCAGATATAGTCTTAACCTGTTGACATAATGTACTGTTTCACCTGTCAGTGTTTACAGGCCAAATGTGTATAATACAGAAGACATGAATAACATTCCACATCCTTTAACTGAGCTATCTACTGCCTTGATACGAACTCCCATAATCAGACTGTGCTTATGAAAGTAATTTATTGACATTTATTGGCATTGAGCAGAATAATTATTTCCAGGTATAGTATTTCTATACTACTGTGATCTTGTAGTAATGTATATGTACAAAAATGTTAGAAATGACTTTTTAATTGTTGCACAATGGATCATGATGGATCATTTCTATGGTGTTGTGATAATGTTTAGGTGGAAAGCTAGAGGGGATGACATGATTTACACTACCAGTCAAATCTTTGGAATAATTACTTTGTTTTCGAAAGAGGTCTCTTATGTAGTAAAATCTGTATTATTATGAAGTATTATTACAATTTTATTCCTGTGATGTTAAAACTGAATTTTCAGCATCATTACTCCAGTCTTCAGTTTCACATGATCCTTCAGAAATCATTCTGATATGCTGATTTGCGGCTCAATTAAAATTGGTGCTCAATTAATAATATTGGTTATTATTATTATCAATGTTTTAGCAATTTCTTTTCTTTCTTTCCCTCTTTTATTTTATATATATATATATATATATATATATACATATATTGTTTACCTTACCCCAAACTTTCGACTGGCAGTATCAGTTTTCACAAAATAACAGCACAACTGTCAATATTGATCATAATAATGTTTCTTGAGCACCAATTCAAGTCAGCGGAGCTCCCACAGAGCCATTTTATTTGTTATTGGGAACGAGCCATGCACATGGAAACTAGCCTTGATGAATTAGTAAAACCCAATAAGACTTCTCTCAAGGTCTAATGAAAATATAAACCTTGATGAAATTCTTGCAACTTAAACGTCTGTTTTACCTATTGACAAATTTAGCCAGGAAGCTCAGATATGAAAGAGTATGTTTTTAAGCACTGTGACTTTGAATGTTGTTTTGAACAGGTTTTTACTCATTTTGTCATAATGTTGCATTTATATGACAGCAAGCATTTGTATTGTGTCACATTTCATTTCTATGGTGAATTCTTTTGTACCATTAGTTTCATAGACTTTTAATCAGAAGGACAACAACTCAATCTAAACTGTCTTTTAACAGTTTTGACACTAATCATAAGTGGCAGTAATAAATGCAACCTGACAATAAACATAGAATGTTTAATTTATAGAAATGGGTCTCTAACAAACATTTCAATAAATCAAGGAACAAATCATAATCCCCTTGGATCTTGCCATTTGTTTTGATATATTTGTGACTGACGAGCAGAAGTGAAAATCATGATGAAGTGCAGTGCTTGCCTGTGTTTTGCTCCAGTGACACCCTTTGTGTCCTTCAGAAACTCTCTCTTGGTATTCTGCACAGATATTTTGAAAACAGTTTCCTGGAACTGGCTTACGTGGGCAGAGAGCTGGAATGTCTATGGAGGAGCCCGCTGACTGCTCTCATGCCCTGAGGAAGTGAGGCGTTGGTGTCTCGGTGCCAGCGGGGGCCGTCGCCTCCGGCTGAAGGGGCCAGAACAAACTGAGCCACATTTGGTAACTTGAGCAAGTTAATAAGTTCATGGGCTCGTGTGATGATCTCCTCAGTGTCCTCCTCGCTGTAGCACGTCATTACAGGAGCACTACGGGCAAACGTCCGCATCTTAGACAGGCAAAGCGACACTCTGAGAGAAATAGAACGAAATGGAATGAGTGAGATATAGAACTATTAGTTGATACAGGATTTACTGTATGTTATGGCTGATAATCATTTATTAAATAAAAAAAAGTTTGAATTGGGAAAAATACGTCCTGATGTTTTTTTTGTTTTTTTTTGCTTACAATATCTGGCTAATATGGACATTACAAATATAGAAAGGTCCATAAGTCTGAGACCACATTGACCACGTATGCAGACTTTAATTGAAATGGCAAAAATAAAACAACAATAATAACAGTGTTGGAAATGTAATAGGTTACAGTTTACAAGTTACCTTATTTAAAAAGTAGTGTAATTATTTCAATTACTTCATTAAAGTAATGTAGCCGACTACATTTTGATTACTTCTCTAAATTTCTAATGAATGTTTTCAACTGTTAATCATTTTGAAACATTTAAACCCGGCAGGATAATCCTTACAGATGCACTCAACACGGATTACTGTCAGACTTTCAGAATCCTTCATCACTTCATCACAATCATAAGATATAGTTTAATAGCTATGTTACTGTTTTTTAAAATCAAATCTTTGTACAGCTATGACAGGAAACACTGTCATCTAACAATGCCTCGGAAAAAAAACTGTTAATCTTAAAAAATAAAGCATATAAATAAACCTAAATAGGAAATAAAAGAGTTATTTAATAAGCATGTGTCCTATTCTGTGTCCTGAAACATCAGTGTCTCATATTTTAGAGCAGTCAATGCAATTTGGGAAAGAAATCAATCAAATCTATATGTGTGTGACAGTGTTGGGAGTAACGCATTACAAAAGTAATAATATTACAGTAGTATATTACTTTTTGCTGTAACGCAGTAATATAACGCATTACTAATCAAATTTGGGTAATATTATTACTCGTTACAATCTCAGTAACGCAAGTTACAACAACATATTTTAACTCAAAATTAAGTGGTGAATTTACTAACACCACAAAACAGCACCAGCGAAAAAATTACTCGTGTAAAATAGTTCGTCTATTTCCTGTTGCTGTAAATAGATGGTTGAGATGACTGCAGAGACGGATTCTACATTTGTGAGATGGACACACTCCTGTTATTTTCAGTTCATCGGAGAAAAGAATAAGAATGCATAGTCAGGTGCAATATGTGCAACACCAAACTCTCAACATGGAGAAATAGCACGAGTAAAACCTGGAAACACCTAGACTGGTGCCACTAACACTAAGCTATCGGAGAGAGAGCTGCGGGGTCGGAGAAGAGAAAAAGACGGCGGACGAGCAACAAAAATTAAGTTTAACTAAAAATAAAATCTGTTTTTATTAAATCATAGTGTATATATAAAATGAATGAATATGCGAAATATTTGACTTAAATAGCCTAATTAACAGATTAACAAAACGAAAGGAAAAGACTGAGAGATAGGCTATGTTGCTGAGTTTGGTTCATATGCTATTTGTGTGGCGCGGCGCTCTACGAAAGTCCAGGGAAAGGAAACCGAGATGACAGAAATAAAGTAAACACATTGCAGTTTCAAATGATCTGTATGACCAAAAATAACAGAGTATTTTTTTGTTGTTTGTTTCCGCTGTTCGATCGCGCCGGCGCCTCACGCACACACATACAGCATTGCAAACGTTGTAGCCTGTTCATTATCAGAATAAAATACAGTCAACCAAACATATAGATACACTGGTTAATTTAAATAGTGCGTAGCCTACTGCGTAGTACAATCCATGTCGATCAGCCTGAGCTCGGGCCAAACACACATTTGCTCATGTGACGAGGATGTTTTTTAAGTGCGTTAAGTAAGCTTGGATTACATAAAGCATTCAAATACATCGCAAATATGGACACATTTAATGGATTAATGCCGAATGAGAGAGGTAGGCTGCGCGAGAACGCCGTTTGCTTTCAGTTTCGCATTGAATTAGCCTAATTCATTTTGGCTTGTTTAGCAACTTATATTTTTCATTCTTGTTTTCTTCTGAAACCGTTCAAAATAGCCTATAGGCTAGGTATTGTGTTTATTGTTTGTACATGATAATATTTCGCTTTATTTACCAGTGTTATTTATGAATGTAATAATGCGATTTGTGCTTACTATATTTTTTTTAACTAAACTACAACGTAACATTAATGTAGACCTACATACCGGTATCTAAATATGATTTCATATTTTATGCTATATAGACCTACCACATTACACTCCACTGAATGTAGTATGAACAGCAATAAACTACATTTTGGCATTTTACAATACTTATGTGGATATTTTGGATGAAAGTAACTCAAAAGTAACTCAAAAGTAGTGTAATGCATTACAATTCAGAGACAGTAATATTGTAATGTAACTAATTACTTTCAAAAGACAGTAACTAGTAATATATAATGTATTACATTTTGGAAGTAACTTGCCCAACACTGGTGTGTGAACATATTCAGATGTAACCCCCTTTATCATTTTTAACATTTTCATAAGTAACTGTAATCCAATTACACATTTTTTGTGTCTCAGCAACTGTAACAGATTACGGTTACATTTATTTTGTAATTAAAGGGGTCATATGACGCGATTTCAAGTTTTCCTTTCTCTTTGGAGTGTTACAAGCTGTTTGTGAATAGATAAGATCCCTAAAGTTGCAAAGACTAAAGTCTCAAACCCAAAGAGATATTCTTTATAAAAGTTAAGAGTCAGCCACCCTTCGTCGAATCCGACGGCTGCGCCGTTCTCAAGCCGGCCTCCGCTCACTCTAGCCCGCTGTGTGTGATGCTGTGTGACGCTGTTGTGAAAGCGAAACTACTTTGTTTGGTCTTCCAAAAGAGGACACGACTAGAAATCAGTGAAATCAGTGGATTTACAACACTGTTCCAGAACAGTTCAACCCAAATATTCAGATGTGTGCAGCACATTTTATGGAGGACTGTTTCCTGATCCTGGGAGAGTAGACTAACTTTACAATGCCGGCTGTTCTGACTCACAGACTGTAAGTAAGTTTTTTATATTTAAAGAGTTTTTATATTTTATATATTTAAAGCGAGTTTTTTGGGCAGTGTAGAGTAATGGCATCACGGGGCGTAACATTTCTGTCACACGCTTGAGGTATTCGGCCAATCACAACGCACTGGATAGACTGGATAGCAGAGCACACCTCGCTTTTCAGACCTACGAGGATATTCCAGAGTACATGAACCTGCCCTGGGTCTATTCCAACCAGGATGTAGACACAGGCGTGTATGAAGTGCAGGAACCATGTGAGGTGAACAGGTCAGTTTGTGCATATGCATAAATGTATATATACACAAGTGTCATTATTCATATTACCATCCTGAACTACAGTTGTCTTGTTTAATAGGTTTTGATTTGAGGGATGTACTCAAAAATACTTTAAGATTGTTACAATTTATCACTTTTCAAGCTGTGATTGATTGAGATTACAGATATGGTAACAGCTTTGTGCCAAGTCCAAGCCCCTGTCAAAATCCAAACCCTGATTCCTAAATTTAAAATGTATAACTCATACCCTTCGAACAATTACGGGAAAAATTGGGTATTACAGTATGTTTCATTGAGAATACATTGAGAAATTCTACAAAGGTTTGCTATGATTATGTGTATTTATTACCAGTGTTGGGGTAAGTTACTTTTACAAGTAATGCATTACAATATTGTGTTACTCCATAAAAAAGTAACTAATTG